GATTCCTCCCACTATAACCACTTAAAAAAGCAGAAGTGGTTAAGGTGGTTTACAAAAAACAATATGTAAAATAATGGGTCTTTGCATAGAACCCTGAATGTCTTGTGTCTGGTTGTATGCGGCAGCATAGGATAGAAGATGAAGGTGATATACTTACCTGAAGCTCACCACTATCGGCAGTGCCATCTTCAGCTCCTTTCACTTCATTCATTCCAGAGCACAAGCTCAGAGCACAACATTGAGGCATATGAAGGGTTTGGCAAGATCAACTCTCGTGATGTGCAAGAAAATGTCTATGGGAAGCTCTGCCTTTTATCAACTCAGACATAAACAAAATAATTTAACTCATAAATAGCAGTGAATTGAGCAGTGAGACTGCAGGGGCATGATATATACACCAAAACTGCCTTATTAAGACAAATTTGTTGTGGTGCTTAAAGGGTCCCTTTAAGAAACAATAATCAAAATTTAATTTCAAACAATGCACTTTGTAGGGATCAGTATGAGTAAGGAGACATCATTTCAAACTAGCTTGATTGAATGTCATGTGTCAGTGTTTGCAGATGACCCAAAGCTAGGCAAGGTAATACAATGAGCAGGACATGACTGCTGATTCCTCCGTAAACCATTCCCGTTATCCCATCCCACCAATAATTAACACAACACCATATTAATGGGTAAGGGCAACGGCCACAGGTTTATTTTCCGACAACCAGCAAACAACCACTGTCACCTGCTGGTTTGATCCACCCAGAAGACAGATAACAATTTACTTTTATTTTTTTGACATTCTTTATTTTGTTGTGCAGTGGTACAAATATAAGTATGTAGTGACATATGGCAGAAATGTAAGCATTGTATGGGAAACAGAGTTGCTTGTCTTGGTACGTTGCACCTTTTTGGAATAAAACAGGATATGATACGAGATATAAAACAAGATATAAAACAAGATACAGGGAGTCGAGCTGAATATGCATCAAGAGTGATTCTTAAGTGCACGCTCTTAGTATGCATGAATGGGTTTCTGATCCACAGGAGTACCCAGTTACCATGGTTGTGCCAACGCAACTGATATTCCAAGGTGGGATTAGGATGTTGCGTTACCCACCAGGCCTAAGTGACCTACTGCAGCTCATGTAGGTCCTGCCCACCCGCTAATTCACTTCTGTCTCATTTTATGTGTAAGGTCATAGCATGCGTTGAATAGGGTTATTTGGGTTAGGGTTATTTACATACATGTACGGTTGCCTACTCGGGGGTATAGTGGGTCTGGCAAGGGTATTGCACCTAACCCGTTACATTTCTAAGCTGTACTAGGTTGTGATTGGCAATTCGTAAAATCTCAGTATCCAGTCTGCCCATCCTGATGGCCAGGGTTTTGGGCTAATTCTTAGCAGGCCTGTGAGTGTGTGCTGTTGCCTCCGCAGAGGTATGGTGTGTCAGTCTGGATGTGCATGTGTCGGCTCAAGTCAGTTCTCGTCTGGGTCTTACTGAGCAGTTTGCATTCTCTCAGTGGCAAGTTGTTAGTTAATGATCAATGAGCCAGGTTGGCAGCATTCTTAGTCTGGGCATGGCACATATTTTGTTTATTAGAGGTGGTATAGTACATCTCGTACCTATGGGGTGTTGGTGGGTTGAGTGCTCTTGTCAAGGGGTACATTCCCTCCCTCCCTCGTGGGTTGGATGAGGGGTTTGTTGCATAGTGTTGGCTGCATGTATGGGTTAACAATATACTTTTTAACCAGAGCCTCTTCAGCCTTTCATTCGTGATCCACCAAATCAAGCTGCCGTCCGGGCAGTGTCCTTTGATAACTTTGCTGGCACGGGAAACCCGGCAGCTGTGACAAAAGAAGAAAACAAACAAACACACAAACCAATAACCAATAATTACAACCTACCATCCCACCTAAAGAGGAGGGTAGTGGACTGATGAGCTCCCGGCACCTAGCTCTGCCACCAACATTGTTACAATTGTGTTACCATACCAACCTCTCCAGCAAGCAGTCATGTTCCCCCTCCTTAAGCAGTCCAGGGGTTGGCCTTTACTTTGCGGTAGAGGATTTGGATACGTTAGGGGATTAGAAGGAACGCCAGATTCAACAAACCGATAAACAGATAAATGCAAAAACATGCATTTTGGGATGTAAAACCCAAAAGCAACTTATACTCTTTATGGGGTCCAGTTATGGATAACTGTAAGTAACTATAAATAATTATAAACAACATGCTAGGCAACATTGTGCAATGTTAGCAGTTGCAAACATCAGTACGACTCAAACTAGTCTGACCTACCAGTTCTTCAGTATGTACCATTGGGTAATAAATATAAAATAAACAAGTTAAACCAATGTGGCTTAGTGGGAAAGTGATTCAAGAAATTAAAAAAAAGAAAAGGGCATTTAAAGCATTTAAATCGGACAAAGCAGAGGTATCCTATAAAAGATATAAGGAAGCCAATACTGTGTGCAAATAGGCGATTAGATTTGCTAAACTACAAAATGAGGAAGAATCTATTGCTATAGATATGCAAATGATTGCTTAACAAATTGCAGAAAAATTGTAACTAGATGACTGAAGATAAGGTGCTGCAGCAACTAAAGAAAGTTAATATAAACAAAGCTCCATGGCCTGATGGTATTCACCCAAGCGTACTTAAGGAACTAAGTGTGAAAATAAGTGTACCGCTGTTTTTAATCTTTCAAGAATCTTTTCTTTCAGGAATTGTACTGGAGGATTGGAGGCAGGCAGGGTTCAAAATCCTTGCCTGGAAATTATAGACCTGTGAACTTAACTTCTGTGGCTGGGAAAGTATTTTAAAGGTTAAGGGATAATATTCATAACTGAGAAGAACGTGGTTATCAGCAAATATCAGCATGGTTTTATGAAACATAGATCATGTCAAGCAAACTTAATTGCATTCTACGAAGAAGTAAGTAGAAGTATAGGTCAGTGTGTTGCAGTGGATGTGATCTACTTGGATTTTTCCAAGGCATTTGATATGGTTCCACACAATAGGTTAGTGTTCAAACGCTGAGAAATTGGTCTAGATGGAAATTCTTGTTCTTGGGTAGAACATTGGATTAGAAATAGACTACAGAGAGTTCTCATTACTGGTAAATTTTCAAGCTGGCAATAGTGGTGTCCCTCGGGGTTCTGTTCTGGGGTCGCTTTTATTTAGCATATTTATAACTGACCTTGAAATAAGCATTGTAAGGATATTTATGGGGTGATAAAAAATTATATTTTCATAAAAATTATCAAAAATTAATTTAATAATTTTTATTATATCAAATATTTATATCTTGGCTCTGTTTTCCCGATTAATAAATTAAAGCTGAGAATTACCCACTATTTTAATTCTCCTAGATCCTAGAGTAGGTTTCATTAGAAATTTTTACTTTACACATTAATCACAAATTAATTATAAAAATATAATTTATTGTGAAAATAATAATAATATGTAACTTGCGTGACAATACTCAGTGAATATTTAGGTATAACATAAGTATACAATATTGCAGTGGTTTTAACACAATATAGACAACTAAATAGCAGTTGTATGCAGTTTTACGACAGGACAATTTACTTTGAAATCAACTTAACACAGAACACAGCATCTCATAGCAGCACAGCGTAAAGCAATAAAAACTTTGGCTGACAGTAAAATCACACTGAATTAACTCTTTCACTGCTTTCTACAATCCTCATAGGCAAGATATCCTATTATATTGCAATTTTACAACTACAATAATTCTCATACCAGATTATTTACCATTCCTAAATCCATCCAATAAGAATAATTCTAACCAGGTTTTACGTTTGCATAATTTTAACTTTCCTAATTAAGATTCACTATCCTTAATTTCAGAACGAGTCAATACCTCTGGATAAAAATATGGTATGCTAACATTTGGCAAATTTACCATTAATATATAGTTATCTTTATTCCACCTGCAGGAATGGAAATTTTACAAGCATATATTCCTTAGCTAATTATGATTTCTAATAATTGAAATCTGACCATCATTTATCCAGTTATATATTCCTGCTATTAGAAAAAAATGAATTTATTTTATTTTATTTTATTAAATAAAACCAGCATAATTACCAGTTAGGTTGTAGATTTTCTATCAGATGTGTAGATATGTCCCAGGAATTTTGAATGCAAGTATGATGAAAGAATTGTATGAAAATAGAAAAATGTTCAGATTTCTGAAGTTGTGTTAGTTGGAAAAGAAAATACTAAGAATAAGGTGTGTCCAGCTTTGGCTCCAGATGTCAGATCTTAGATGTTAAGTGTGAGTCTTGAGTTTATGTCTAAGAGTCAGAGTCCAAGAGTCATCCTTCTCTCCTTTGTCCTTAATTTTTAAAGGACCAGTTTTCTGTACGTCACTAGTTATAGTGACCAATAGAGAACTGTGGGTGTGTCTTCCCTACAGACTTTCATCTAGATTTTGGTCAGTAGATGGCGCAATTACATCACTGAAAATTCTTGTCTGGGGGTCCATTTACCTTTTTGTATAACTGAATTTTGGTTAACTGAATTTCGTGATGCGTTTGACGTCGTCTTGGTTATCTCTTACGGATAACTGTCCATCAAACCTGTCGGACTTCAAAGTTTTTCCAGTCTTAGTGTCTGCAATTTGGCTATTCATTAGATTCCTGTCCTAACCTTAATTTCATACTTCCTTACAATGGAACTTTGTAAGATTCCGTTAGTTTTTAGAAAGTAAAATTAATTATTTAGTGTTATCTGTCATTTGGTGTCTGGTTTTCTTGTGTGAAACTGTAGTTAATATTACACATATTCCACTAACATTAGTAAATAATATGGCATTTCTTCATTGATATTATATCCATGAATATTCTATATTATTAACATAGTACTAATTATATATGATTAATAAACTTATAGTAAGGTATAAGTAGATATTGTGTGTGTGTGTGTGTGTGTATATATATATATATATATATATATATATATATATATATGTTTGTCTCTGGGTTGTAGCATTCAACCCCCCTTTTGCTGTAGACATCATGTCTTATCTCAGGTTTTGTTTACATAAGTTGTATTCCTTAGCTCAGACTTGAATGAATAGAGTTACAGATAGAAAAACGTTTGTGTCTGTCTTAGCATTGTAATACAAAATGGAGTCACCTCTGTTCTGATGGTGACTTACAGTATACACTTTGGGTGAGGAAGATATTACTTTGCTGCAGAGGGATTTAGACTGGGGGGCTGGGCACTCAAATGACAGCTAAAAGTTAATGAAGAAAAATGCAAAATGATGCACTTCGGGGTAAAGAATGCACAAGCAACTTATACCCTAAATGGAAGCGAATTAGAGACAACAACACATAAGAAGAATTTAGGAATTGTTATAGACAACAAACTAGGCAACAATATGCAATGCTAATAAGCAGTAGCTTTGGCCAGTATGGTATTGTCATGTATAAATAAGGGCCTAATGCTAAGGTTTATATAATTTTGCCTCTCTATAAATCACTTGTGTGACGGACCCGCTGGCACTCCGACCAAGTACCTCTGCCAATCGATGCTCCTAGTGCTCGCCGAGGACTCCAAGCACTCCAACCGACACCATAAGCACTGCAGACTTATCCCATCCCCCAAGCATGAGCCAAGGCTTCAAGAAAGGGTCAAGCAGGTCTGTTTAATGAGCACACAAAGCAACAGCCCTCATGCAGCAAAACAACTCCTCCTCAGAGGAAAACAAAATGACCGTTAAAAGGTCAGACAGAGTTAGAATATTTGACAGTTATAAGGGTTTAACTGGTGTTCTAGGAGGGGGAGGGGGGAATAAAATAGGGGTTTTCTTCACAATTTAAAGCTGCAGACTGCTCCAATATAATTTAAAGGGGCAGACAGAGGACAATAAAATCCAATACTCCAATATAATTTAAAGGGGCAGACAGAGGACAATAAAATCCAATACTCCAATATAATTTAAAGGGGCAGACAGAGGACAATAAAATCCAATATGCCCAAATAACATTTTTAAAGGGCAAAATCTTCCAGAGGCCAAAGTCGCAGGGCAGGAGGCTGGCAATTAGTCCTCTCGAGGCACAAGTGGCGAAGGGCACTTCGTCACAACTTGTAAGACCACATCTTGAATATGCTGTGCAATTTTGGGCACCTGTTCTAAAGAAGGATAATATGGCACTAGAAAAAGTGCAGAGGTGGGCTACAAAATTAATAAAAGGAATGGAACATTTTAGCTATGAAGAAAGGTTAACAAATTTAAACCTCTTTAGTTTAGAAAAACAGCACCTCAGAGGGGATATAATAACATTATACAAATATTTCCGGGGCCAATACAAACCATTGTGTGGAAATCTATTCACAGACAGGACTATACATAGGACACGAGGCCATGTGTTTAGACGGGAATAAAGGAGATTCAGTCTAAGGCAAAGGAAAGGACAATAAGTAAATGTAATTCTCTACATGAAGAAGTGGTTTTATCAGAGTCTGTATATATCTTTAAACAGAAACTAGATGCATACTTGCAAAAACATAATATCAATGATATAACTTTTCAGTAATAGCTTCTCAATCCAATGATAAAACTGACTGCCATTCTGGTGTCTAGAAGGACATTTTTCCTAGTTTGCTGCAAAATTGGAAGTGCTTCAAACTGTTTTGGTTTTTTTTGCCTTCTTTTGGATCAACAGCAAAAAAAAAAAAAAAAAACAGATGTGAGGAAGGTTGAACTTGATGGACACATGTCTCTTTTCAGCCTATGTAACTTAAAGCTGACTTCAACATCCTACTGTCAACATGTGGTTCTGGACATGTCCCATTTCTGCTACACTCACTACTTCCATCTCTTTCTCTGTGCCAGGCTGTGTAACATGAGCCAGCTTCTGCCTGCTTGTAAGACGGGAAGAAGTGGACAAGTGATTGCTGAAAGAGAGAGAAAGGAGATTAGAGATGTGGGGCTTGCAAAATGGACAGATAGACTGGATTGACAGAGATTGACATACAGTATGTCTAGACTTTAAATGCAGCACAACCAATCAGGCTCATCATAATCATCAGCACAAGGACCGGAAAGGTTTCTATTCTCAAAAGAGAGTAACACAAATAACAGCTGGAATTAACTATATAAATCCCAGATGGTATACAAAAAAGAACTGCAAGGACAAGCATTAAATATGCATTCAGCAATAAAAAGCTTTAAATGCAAAGAAGAAAAATGCCCTGTAAATTTGGTGTTTTTAAAGCACACATTTAACAAATGCTGGCTTTTACAGTTGTGGCTTTTAAAATATATATTTGCTTCCTCATTCATTACTCTATTTTAGGTCTGCGTAATAGCAGGGGAATGGCTGCCCTGACATTGAATAGGTCCCTGTTTTCCTTGGCATTACTGTCTCTGGGGTGCGTTCTTGTGAATAGATAAACTTGACGCAGCATTCTGTAGTTTTGGCATCAATGCCTGTGCTGCCAGATGACCATTCACAGGTCGGCTTTTCAATTCCTGGAAATGTTCTGGGACCCGGTGTCCTCACATGCTGATCCAGAGAGGATCTTCCAGGAGATTAGAGG